GGAAACCAGCAGGAAAATGACAGTCTGCGAACAAAGCAACTGCAGTGTAGAGCCAGGCTACTCAAGCTGTAACCCAGCTGACTCACTGGCAATGCTGCATTAGCTTCGGGAGCAGAAATGGGGATTTTCCTGCCAATTTCATAAACTGCCTATGACTCAGCCTTCGAAGAGGTGAACAGCATGTTAATCCAACAGCTGTTCTGCTTCGGCAAAGAACTGGTGCGTACTTTATTTCCTTTGGATTGTTTCTTCCCAAAAGTAGAAGAGCTCTGAGCCAGAAGTAGTAGTAAAGTAGTAAAACTTTATTTTCTGTGGTTCTCCTAGAAACACTTCCACTTCTTGCTTCTCCTTTCAGCATCACTATGTTTTCATTCCGGCCCTTCAGCATCTTTTCTGTCCCTGTTGTTTGACCTGAACTTTTAAACCTGCTCTGAGGTTGCTGTCTAATACTGAGAAGTGAAGGCATCATGTACTTCTGTCAGTCTGGAAGTTTTATCAAAGGATTTATCAAAATTTTCTACTCTTTAAACTAGAATGCCTGGCACAGTAGCTTCAAAGGAAAACGAAGTGGTAGCTCAGGCCCTAGAACATTTTCTTTGTTCTCTTGTAAAAAAAGTGCAGTGGAATTTTGAAGAACAGCTGAATAGCAGGCTTTCCGCTGTCACCCGACTGCAGACAGTAGTTCTCGGTCCTCTCTCAAAACCATGCACGATTCTAAGACACCTGCTTCGCTGCTCTTTAATCCGAGTAGCTCATTTCTGCCGTTCTCCTCAAGAGCGATGTTATCATACCTTTCTGTGAATGAGTCCTTCAAACCTGATACAGCTGGGCTGATGTGCCCTTCAAAGCAGCAACCTTGCAGCTGTCAGCAAACTCTAGCAAGTAGATGTGATTTGGTATGGGGTTTATTTTGTGCCGGTGAAGGAAGGGGTTAAAGGAATTTTAGTAGAAGCAGCATTGCCTAATAGTTAAGGGATTTAGTAGAAGCAGCACTGCCTAAGAGTTGCTGTGCAGAGAACTGATAGTGCCTATCTATTGTGTAAATTAACTGAAGCAGAGAGTCTTGCATTTCCTTACAGAGGGGGTAGCTCCTGACGAGCACTGGGGAGTCGCCTAGGACCGGTTAAGACCGACCCTGCAGTTTGGATGGGACCCAGAAGAGAACTGAGTTTGCACAGAAACAAAGCTCAGTCAGTGAACACCGTGATGAAGAGGATGGGCCTTCATCTTGGCACCCCTGATGACCACCACCAGCAGGCACTGCGCAAGCGCACCTGGGAGGAGTCTATGAAAATGACTTTTTGGAACTGATTTTAATACGAAGTGGGGATAGGTCATGCATATGTATAGGCAGATTGGGAATTTGATGAATATATAATATTTGACTGTATAAATTGAAGAAGCAAGTTACTGTCCAGCACGAGCAACTTTGGTGGGGCTACCCCCATGCCGCCTGGCGCCGAATAAACATAGCTACTTCAGAGTCTTACAGATTGTGGAGCCTGCTTTCCGCACGTCACCGCTTAATTGTAGAATGGAAGACCGGGTATTATCTAGCTGAGATATTGGAACGGTCTTTGGCCCAGGAGTGGCTGAGTGCCATTCTAACTTTGCTTGTAGCCGCGTGCACTGCTTCCTGCCAGGCAAGGAAGTGCCTGCCATTGAGCGGGACACGGCGATTTAATTCTGTGGGCCCTTTCTGCTGCAGCCTTTATTTCTGCGCTCATCTCTCCCCCCGCCCAGAGGAACGGGGGGAGCTTGAAGCAGCGCTTCCCTGCGCGCGTTGCTGCTGCGCATCACGGGCCGTAAAACTACGAGGGGCTTCGGGAGCAGCCAAAACCGCAGTGGGTGACGCTGGTGAGGGGACGGGAGGACAGAAGCACATCACGCGTGGGCGTTTCGCCAGCTCCGCGGTCCCGGAGCAACGACTGGGGTTGGAAACCGCCTTTGGGTCCGGTCGCGGGAGCCTTGCCCTGTCAGGAGATGGGCTCAGGCTTCACCGCGGGCCCTGCAGAGGAGCCCCGAAGCGCGGGGGAAACGGTTT